GTATATTTTAACCATTGTTGTAGGGGTGCGAGGATATCTTAAATTTTTTTGGGGAGTACGAGCGAGAAAAAAGCTGACAATCATAATAGTAGGGTATCTCACTGTCCCGTTTTTCCGATTCGTAACGATATTAGTCTTGAGATTGATCAATACCGAAGTGGATTCTTATAGAAATTGTATATAGCAGTAAAGCAATAAGTGAAAAGTGTCATCAGTGGAATCATTATAAAATAGTTTTCTATTATGCAGAAAATTGAGGATGGAACGATGAATTGGTAGTGGTGAAATGAGATTCATTTTAGCCACACACAAATGCTAGTCCAAATTTGATGCCATTGAAACACTGGATGACCTATGGCGTGCACAGCACGACAAGATCAACTATTATGATGAAACTGACCTTTGATGGATCCTCCCTATCTGACGAAGCAGCAGCACTAATGTAAGGACCCGATGACTGTGCATCAACTACATCCGAAAAGATACAAGCACCACTTGACTGAATGTCCAATCGTTTTCGTTTAACATCATTTTCATCACCTTCAAAATAAACGCTACATTGCTCAACAAACACGAATTCATTCTCACTCCAAATTGCACATTGGTCAACAATCAACGTTCATTTCCAATCAACTCACTATTACTTTAACAACTGATAACCAAAACCAAACAGAGCATAACTTTTTTTCAGTGTTTCGTAAAGAATGCATTAAAAAACTGAACTACAGAAAATATAATGAAATAAACGACAATAATTAATGCAGTAAAAGCGCTGAATGGTGATACTGATGATAGTAATTAGAACCGTAAAATAATGTTGATAATAATATTGAACCTGGAACAGATTCTTGTGACGAGAGTGGCGTAAAGTGGGCAACAGTGGAATCGAAATCATTCGTTGCATACGAAGTCGATGTGGAAGTAGAATTTTGTTCGGTAATGAGGACTATAGGTGGCAATTTGCGTGCAGCGATACGTTTCCGACTTAAGGTTTGTGGTTTTGGTTGGTGATTGCTGCTGATGTGATTAGTGGCATGATTGGTATTTTCACGTTGTTCGACGATATTCGTAGTGCTGTTGCTCTCATCCGTGGATGTGTGAGCAACACGCTCACAACCATACGTTAACGTACATTCGTTGCTTGCTGACATTCGATCAATGCACTAGAAAGGCTTGATTGTATCCGCATATCTCTACTCAGAATTTCGTTTCCTTTCATTTCAATATTCCGATTAACTGAGGTATAACATGAGGGGATACCTTCGCCGACTGATCTCGATTTTCAAATGTCGAAGACGATGAATGAATAGGTGATGTGATAAAATGGTATCATATTGACTAAAAATCTCAGCGATCACTCATTGATCTTGTCTGGTGATCTACACATTACTAAGTAGAATCAGTAAGTGGCCGACTCATCAGATGCATTGCAGATGAGTGGAAACAAAAGTGGACATACTGAACTAAAAACACGAATATGTATTCGTTGTGCAGTATCGATCTATTTTCAAAGAAATGATTTCACCAGAATATCACATGCGAGGGAGGCGAGTAGAGAGTGTGGTGTCTCATGATTAAGAATATGTTCCACGAGGAAAATGATGTTGACTTCATTGTTAAACAAATCTGGGCGGATCATAAGAATGAGAATAATAGCATAACAATGATACAGCAATCAGAGAATTCTTCACGTGCACACCCGCAATAGAGTGCAGCCACAAACGCATGTTCGCAGGCTATGTGCTTCTGTAGCTGCATTTCTGTCGACATTCAGATTGACCGTTAAAAGAGGCCGTAACCAAAAACGGATGGCAGTTACACGAAACTTCACAGAA